GTAACGAGCGCAACAAGCTCACTTGATATCAGTGACCATTTTGTAAAGTATCACATGATAAGGCTATCGATAATGTAGGGTTATTAAAATTTTGGGGAAAAGGAAGAGGTAAGGTAAATTAGGATACAGTTAATCGAGGTTTTACAGTACTAGGTTCCTCACAATTTCAAAAGCTTTATCGGTAAATCAAACTTAACTTTAGTTCATCCTGTAATATACAACTGGTCTTATTTTAACTTCATCCCCTTTGTGATAAAACCATGTATGATTATCGTTTACAGGGTGACGGCCTGGACTTTTGCTGTAAAACCGAACTGCATCCCATATAAAATAATTGTTGGTACTTTCTCGAGAAGGTTTTTTGCTCCAGGTAACCGGATAACCGCCATCCTCATCAATATTGAGAGAAAAGTGCATATTCGCAGCAGAAACAAATTCTCCATGGAAGTGCAAGTCATACGGATACAACTCTGGATTGACGATAAGTTGAATATTAAATGAATTTTCTCCTGGATCATCTTTCAGTGATGATATATGCAGTATGAAGCCACAGCTTCCCATCCTGTCACATCTATCGTTTGAGGTTGGTGACTCAAACTGAAATATGACATCATGATCCTGTGAAAAAAACTCAAAAGGGGTGTAATCAGAAATAGAGCGTACACAGCGATAACCAGTCATTGTTGTTAAGTCAAGACGATTATCCATTAAATCCTGTGGCATACCACCGAGATACGATTTTTTAACGAAATTTTGTATGTAGTTCACAGGTAGCGGAGACCAACCTTTTTCTGAAATTCCTTTGGCGAGTGTCTCAGTAAAATTATCTACATCATATGATTCGTTAGTTTGAGTTTCTTTTCGATATTCGAATAACCAACAATATACGGCATCGAAGAAAATTAAACTATTTGTTACAACTGGAGAATCAAGTAAAAAGTCAAGTAACTCTGTAAAGTTTTTGTGATCTTTAATTGGTTTAAATCCAAGGAAGAGATTAGGAACTTTACAAAAATCTTGAATTTCTAGCGCAGATCGTGTCAGCTCAGAACGTCGAAATAATTCCACCATCAACATGTAGTCTTCCTTTGATGGTGAACCAATGGCAGCTAAACTGTCAAGTAATTTCAGGTACAATGGTTTGTGTGTCTTACTACAAACAGAATAGCTAACATTTGTCAGCAAGAATCTACTATTGGCATCGATATTAGATGGGTTGCGTTCAAAATTGTCGATAAGAACTCCCATCAAGACATGTTTCTGTTTTTGGATCATCTCAATGATAACACTCAGTTGTTTTGGACTTCGAGAAGTGAAGTCGCTCAAATATTGGGGGACGAAAAACCGATCACATTTTGCTATCTCAGTCGAGAACTTCTCAACAACCAACTCCATGAAATGCTTCTTTTTGATAGTCAAGAGCATATACATAGCCTCCTCGAAAACGTACAGTTGGTCTTCATACTTTTCAGCATCAAGTTTATCAACAAGTGTCCTGAAGAATGTAACACATTTATCAGCTATCCAGGATACCTCAAATACGTTGGACATCTTGTTCATTTCCCGTAAAGTGCCCTTTGAAATATTCTTAAGTTCCCCCGAATAACAAGAAGTCACAAAATCCTGCACAACCTCTTTACCAAAGTCATCAACATCAATTGAAGTTTGAAGCAGGTCCGTGGTAAGAGAGTCTATAACAGGACTGTTGTAGGATATAATAACAGAGTTAGCAGGAATCTCTTCGCCGTCTTGAAGACGAAACTTTAGGTTACTGTGGGACGGAGATCCGAGGTACTTCACCCCAAAATCCATTGGAACTTGAACTTTTGGAGCCATGGTTTTGAATTCGACTTCCTGGGTTTGATAGATTAGCTAAGTATCGTAATGAACAAATATCACAAATGCAATAGACAATAATAAATATAGTTTAATCTAAATGCAGTCACATTTTCATTCTTTGGAATTTTTATAAGAAAATTAGTGCATATGACAGATTTCGTTAATCGAATCAATATTTAACAAGAAACCTACGAACTGAATAACATATAATGTATAAGATTTGTACAAACATCTCATAATAATTTCACTGGCAAAAAAATATACAAGCGTTAAAACCATGAAACTAAATCTTACATTACGAAACGAAAATAAAAGCATATCTATTATCTATTCTTCCAAACGGTCTGAATATGGTCAGAACTCAGAACTGGGAATTTATATAATGGGCGATTCTAATTAAATTAAAACTCATTAAGGATATCAAAAAAGTGGCGTCTAAATCTTTTTAGCCATTAAGATCTGAAATGAAACCTTCCTATCTCTAACAAACTCTTCTTTCAATTTAAATATCTCTACAGACAAACCCTGAATATAATCTTCAACTACTTTCACTGCTTTCATAGCGTTGCACTTAATACAGTGATCATACAAATCTTCTCCTCCAAAATACTCCATCCCATTTCTGACCAATGCGGCTTTCAACTCATCCAACGAGAGAATAAAAGGCATATAATTCATTTCCATGAACCTTTTAACATCAGCCAGATCAGAAATTCTATTAAAATCAGTAACAACGAGACACCTCCTGGACGTAGAACCCTAGAAATATTACCAAGGATATCATTTATACGATGGTGAGAATAATGCAGTGATGTTTGCATCATGACATGGCTAAAACTTTGCTTTGTAACAGCTTCGGGAAGTTCAAAGTATGAAGCTGCATAGAACTCTGCACTTAGATCAGGTATTTTCTCTCGTCTGTATTGTTCAACTGATTCTTTGGCCATGTTTATGTGACCCTCAGCTAAGTCCACTCCTACAATAGAACAGCCTATATTAGCTGCAATATCCAACACAGGAATACCTCGGCCACACCCTAAATCTAACACGTGAGAATCTGATCTCATCTCAGAAATCTCAGCAAGTCGAGCTGTCATGTTGCGGACACTTTGAGCCAGAGTGTCGGACTCCGTTCTGTAGTAACCGATGGTTATGTACCCTGTTCCATCAAATAGCTTATCAAGTTCACCTGGGCCATTTTCACGTTATTATAATTTCCAGCGATAATTTCCCTAAATTCATTTTGCACACCAGCTGACAGGAGAGTTGTGTGTACTTATTTACTGAATAAGAAAATGGAACTATTTTAAATTAGCATACTTGTTTTTGTTCTCTGTTCCCATCTTTCTTTTACCTTCCGAGTTTGTTCATCTGCCTCCGATGACATGAGCCTAAGTATTTGCTACTTAAATAAACGAATATTCAGTGATAATATTTACCACGACATTTCTTGTTCCAACCATTGAATTCAGTCACTGGTTAAGATGTTGTATGTTCTAGTTTATTGTAATTGTTCTCCTTAACATAACGGACACTGTAATTTAAAAGGAAACCTAAGAGTCAGCAGTAAGAAGAAAGTGGCTCTCTTAAAATCAGAGAGCGAAACGTGGACCAATCATGCTCTCAGTACAACCGTCCTAATTCTACAGTAGTACACTTTGAGTCAGATATTAGGTTATCTTTAATTTAGGTTATATATTTAATCGTGATTATTGAAAAAAGTGTTATGTTATCTCGAGAACAATACTTGCCATGAGCCTGGTTTTATCTCATGAATTGAAAACATTTTTCCTGCATTTTGTTCAAATGATTCGGCTTCAGCTGCGTTATGACACGACCAGCTTACATTTACCACAAGTCTCGTAGACAGATGGTTGGTTAACTCTATGATTGCATAATGCATAAATTTAAGCAATTATGACCTACAACATCTCACTATTTGGAGCCTGGTAGGTGACATGGCGGACTCATTAACGCTCATCACAAGATTTGCAGTTGTTTGGAGACTGGGAACCAAAATATGGTTAACTTACAATATCACGAACCAATTTATAATGTTGTTAATTTTCCTCCCCATAACTTTTCCGATCACAGGATGTCCAAAACTTTTATTTTATTACAATGTTTACTAGTAATTATAGGAACAGGTGTATCATAAATATTATAGTTTTTCCCCAACATCACTAACCGTGCTCCATTTGCCACTTTTATTAGAAAACCTATAATATTTACACTGTCAGTCTAGTACTTCAGTAATTTCCGATATTACCGATTAACTATGAGCCCACATATGATTACTCTAGCGTGGTCTGACGCAACAGACCATGATGTGTATATGACATATCCTGTCATTTATCGTAAAACCTAACGAGCGTGACATACGCCACCGATTATTGATACCTTTACAGATGATCGAGCTCGAATTGGCACATATTTCTAGACCTCAAAGAATTCGATTGATCCACGTGACTTTAATTCAAGCCAATATAACCAAAGTCATAACATGCCTGGTAAAGCTGAGGGTCGAGTTTTATTTGGGGCCATGACTTTAGGACTTTAGGAGCCAACACAAAGAAGTTTCGGCGACAATAACCTATGCACCTGGTACTGTGCAGTCGTTTACACGATTTGGTAACACCAAACTGTGTGGTTAGACCTTTTTTTACTGTTTAGCTGATATGAGATGGGATCTCATTACCGTGAGTGCTTCATGGTACAACGGTTCTGAATGGTTTCAATTTCTTTTTGCATTAGAGCGCGACAAAGACCATTTGTTCAAAGAAATTGTTGAAGCTTTTTTAAATATTTACGATTTGGAACGTTTTTGTGACCTATACGTTAAACCTAACCGAGAATCAATTTAAATCGAATCAGCAGCTGCTATATTGTTTTAACGTATTGCAGCTTCATAAATCTCGTGATATAATGGAAGCCAGGTGTCACAGCTGGTCCGGCTAAATTTCCGCTTTCATTCAATGAAAATTGTGTGATTTAGGTCTTATTCTAGTTTGCTCTTTTCGTTGTTTCTTCTAGTTTAATGTGATCAGGATTAGACTCCGGTGAAATAATGTAGACTAAATAAATAAATCTTAGTTCAGCATGACGGATGAAACGGAAAATTCGTCAACACTGACTGTTTCTATGTTAATGTACAATAAAGAATGTTCCTCGTTCTTCTTATCAGTTTGGCAGTTACTGCATTGGCAACAGGTAAAACGAAAAGTACAAATTTGTATCCAGTTATGATTTTTCAAGCTTTGAAATATTGAATTTCAATCGCAATTCAAAACAGAATCATCACACGGTTAACTATTAAGAATAGAATATTTTACAAGTCTATAGTTTTAAAAAATAATGACTTTATGATGGTAATCTCAGGCATGGTTTATAACCACTCATGACGTAATCCCTATTTCAGACACGTTTCAAGTGAAAGATGTGCAGGGGTATCTAAAACTGGTAAACGACCGCGGTTACACCCAGTGCTGGGGCTCCAACGTGACTTACTTTGTTGCTAGACCGGAACAAGAGTACTGTTATAGCCAACAGTACTCTGCTCTCTGTACACATGATCCCTTCTTCTACCAAGTTTGTGGGGCTGTTAATGCCACTGCATGCGAGAATCAGTACGTTTTTGATAAGGATTATTCTCTCTGTGGCTACCATGTTTGCCAATATCCCTCATCTGTTCCCGGAAGGAATGTCTACCTAAGCGGTAGATCAATCGAATGGCATTATGACTGCAACGGCAAGATAAACTGTTTTAATCCAGAAAATTTGGGAATTGACGAGAAAATTTGTAAGAAATTGGAGGACCCTTATATTTGCAATTGGTCAAAGAAGCGCATTGCAAAGGAAAAGAGATGTGATGGAATCGTAGACTGCCTAGCTGACTCGGCTGATGACGAATATGGCTGCGGCCACACCTACGGAATGGACTGTAACTATTACGATTACCCTGATCACCACAGATGGCAGCCTCCGCGATATGTCTGCATCCCAGCTGAAAGCAAAAGCTCGTTTAGATGTAAGGACGACATTGACGTCAACAAAACCTTATGTGAAGATCAAAAGATTGGCTGGTGCCGTTGGAGACCCAGCTATGCAAGGATAGACGGTGACATTAAGATAGCTAACAGAACACTGACAAAGAACCACATGTGCACATTGCTGGAGCCTGGGTTGGCAGGACCCTGTATTGATGGCAGAGACCAACTCAACTGCTCGTCAGGTGCTGCTCTTACTTGTAATGTAAATCATTATGGTCCATCAACCATCACTAAATTGGGTCTCTGTACTGGTTTTGATACTTGCGATGATGGTTTGGATGAGATTTGTGAGGTACCAGAGTTTGGGTGCAAAACACATAAACACACTTTTTGCGATGGTGTAAAAGATTGTCCCTTTGGAAGCGATGAAGGAAGGCTATGTGACTTTCTGGTAAGTAATAAAACATCTTGTGTTCGGAAAGTGAATTATGGAGCAAAAGTTTTAAAGAAAATTCCTATGGACTGGTTATGCGATGGATTTGAGGACTGTGAAAACGGTATCGATGAAGATAAGAACCACTGGACCGTCTGTGGAAGCCCTTCTACACGTGAAAGATGTATTGAAAAAGGCAGGCCTTGTCAAGAAATGTATAGATGTGATATCACTGAGTCAACACAATTTATTGAATTGAAGCATCTTTGTGATAGTGTCCTTTCTTGTGAGAACGAACAAGATGTTTGCGCAGAATCCAGAAAATTCTCCAAATTATTCACAAAAGTAATTCAGCTTGACGGTATTAAACGAATTCTACAGTGCCTTCCTGGATTAGAAGATTTGCAAAAGATAAGTGGTACCTGTAATGTTTCTGAAGTAGCACAACTTGTGCCAGCATTTGGAATAGATCAACTTCGAGTTGTAACGCCCTCCTCTTTATCATCAAACACATTTTGTGAACATTCCTTCGGAGAACTCTACGTTTACCTAACTTGTCTTGGCTTATGTCCTGGATTATCTTGCATCCTGAGACCTATCAGCCCAAAGAGCTGTTTGACGGGACTGTCTCAAAAAGTCTTTACACTTTCCAAAGACAAGAAGAGTTTGATTCTAGTTAAGAAGGATGGGAATTCTAAAACAAAGTACAGTCACCAGGAGATGTTCCCATGTAATAACGGTAATTGTGTGCCATATGAAAAGGTCTGCAACCTTGCCAACGATTGTGGCGATGATTCAGACGAATTGGACTGTGCTAACCATTTCCGATGTGGTTCGGGAGAATTCATCCCTCTTAAAAATCTGGGGGACGGAAAAATTGACTGTAGGGATCAAAGTGATGAGTGTGACTCTGATAGCAACGTTCACATAATATCACAATCATATTTAGAGGCCAGCTCTTGGATCATTGGAATAACAGCAACGTTGACAAACAGTTTTATATTTGCTAAACAATTAAAGGCAGCATTCAATTCAGCGACAACAATCGCTCTTTTTAACGCTGTTTTCGTCTGTTTTATAGCACTTGGTGACTTCTTAGTCGGACTTTATCTCCTTCTCTTAAGCATTGCAAATCAAATCAATAGGGACAACTATTGTAAAGAAAGATATGAGTGGTTAACAAGTAGCAGTTGCTCATTCTTAGGGGTGATAAGTACGTTAGGATCTTTGTTATCTCTCTATTCCATGACCCTCCTAAGTGTTGTTCGAGCTTACAATCTCACTAAACTATCCGTCCCCCGTTCACCCACCACTACCGAAAAGCTTCGGATCTTTCTTTACTTTCTTTGCAATGATGATCGTGGCTCTTCTAGTGTCATGCATTCCGCTCATGCCTGTATTCGAAGACTACTTTATCAATGGAATTTATTATGGGACAGAAATACCACTCTTCACTGGTTCTCCTGATATGAAAACGCATGAGCACATCATAGAGGCTTATTACTTTACCAAGCTTAGAGACAAATCATCCTGGGAACGAATCCGGCGCTTAATAGCGGGCATGTTCACAAGTGATCAGGCACCAATTGTTGGAGAGATCTTGGATTCTATGGAAACGATGGAGTGTGTCTTTTCAAATATTTTGTCCACGACACAGATCCTCAAAAAGGATTCTCGGCGGTAATTTTGATCACAAATTCTGTTTGCTTCTTTACAGTTTTGGTGTCATATGGCCTTGTCACAGCTGTTGCAAGATCCTTATCATCAGCCTCAAATGCAACACGAAGTAACAGTAAGCTGCAGAGGAAGATAACAATAATCATTGGAACTGATTTCATATGTTGGACCCCATTTGCCATCGTATCTCTGTTGAACTACGTTGAATTGATTGATGCAACACCATACTATGCCTTCTTTTCAACTATAGTCCTTCCGATGAATTCGATGATAAATCCTCTCATATATGATCGTGTTATTACTCGAAACATAACGAAACTTTTCCGAAGATCCAAGGTCAAGGTGAGAACTTTGGTCCATCTTCCCAGCCGCTTTCAAAGTCATGCTCAATGCAACACTGACGGAATTGTAGAGCAAGGGATACAGCTGAGGACGTTGTTTAAAATAAAAACACAATCCAGTTTTGCTCTTAATTCGCCATCACAGGTCAGCCAAATGTGATTTTGGAGATTTGGGTATCTAATAAGTCAGCTTAATGCAGCTAAAAATTTATAGATTTATTGTACAATATCAATTCCCGATATGATCGAAACTTACTTCAGTATATTTGTCTCTGTTTAATATCTCCTACTTTTTAAAATTATCATATCTTTGATGCTTGATCATAAATTAATTGTTTGATATTTAATGAGAAAATACTACAATATAATCAAGGTACGATGTTGGATACCTGAGTTCTATATCTTTCGATAGCAACTCCATCTATGTATCTGCTTAGCTTCCATCACTGATCCTGGTACTTGAGATTCCAGGTGTGGCTTTAAACAATGTTTTAAGGGCCCAACACTCAGCTCACTCAGTTGATGGTAGAACAGTGGGTCTTTGTGCGATGTTGTAGCAGGGACTCCACTTCTTGTTTTCTCTTGCTAACCAGATTGCATAGGAACATCTGAGAGCAACCAAAGCCGCCTCTTGGAACACTGCTTTCTTTACTCTCTTTGTAACACCAAAGTAGTTTAGTAGGGCTGGTAAGGTATGATGCCAGAAGCCTCTACACCCAACCTCTACCGTAAAAAGCTGAGCTTTCCACCCACTGCCATGCAGCCCAGGAATAAGCTCTCTGTTGTAACGTGCTTGTTTACGTTCTACTTGGTCACTAAAGTTACTCTCGTCACCAACTGTCAACTCTACTAATATGACCACCTTTCCTTTATCAGACCAGACTACAATATCGGGACGTTCTGCAGTTCCGTAGATGTGCTGGGGGAACTGTGCTGGGAGCTGGAGGTCATCTTCGTCCCAGATAATCTGCCAATCTTGGTCTTTCTCAAAAGGGCTCTCTCTTTTCATCTTCGTCTTCGGTTTTTGGTAACAGCTGCTAGATGACTTGAAGCCTGTCCAGTCCTGAACTTCAAGTTTAAAATCTTTGTTGTTGAACTTCTCGATTTGATCCAGTAGGGATTTCGCAATGACCCGCAGCACGTTGTCATGCCTCCAATTGTATCGTTTGTTGTTCAACGAGAAGTTGCAAGCTACCAAAATGTGCTTAATGTTGCAGTGTCTCCATCCGCAAAGTGGACAGTGTCCTGTGTCAGCATAGTTCCACAGGCTCATGTTTGCTGGAGTATTTGCAACGTCATGGGTTGCATTGAGGTGGAACTTAAGAAGAGCAGGGCTCATCTTGTAGTTGTAAATAAGGTTGTTCCAACCTAGGTCTAGCTGCATGGTGTTTTCCCATGTTAATACAATTGCTTGCTTGTTTTTTTTTCTATATTTTACAAAGATGAAATGATGACATGTACTATTTTTAGCCAAGATATTCCTAATCTACTGCTGCTCTGACTGGATGACTAACGCAGCGAACCTATCTATATTCATCATAGTATTAATATTTACAGCTATTTCAACAGGTACCCAATGATCTCTTCTAAAGGGTTTTAAATAATTGATCTCTAAAATGTCCGGTAATTTATACAAACCTTGCTGCTAAGTGCTCCGCAAATTAATTTCTTTTCTAATAATCTAATACTAACGCAAACATAAATATAACACTAAGCTTTTCTAATCTTAAACAAAATTCCAGATACGTTTGCAGTGAGGGAAGTTCAAGGATACCTAAAACTAGTCGGCAACCAAGATCAGATACAATGCTGGGGGTCAAATGTAACTTACACCATCTTCAGGCCAGAAAATGAATACTGCCTAAACCAACAGTACTCAGCCTTGTGTACGGATGATCCTGTGTTCTACCAGGCTTGTGGTGCGATCAATGCCACAGTCTGCGAGAATCAGTAGGATTTTAATCAGATACATGCACTGTGCAGGTTTCATGTTTGTCAATTTCCGTCCAAAAATAATACGAAGTACTGGAGTGGAAGATCGATTGAATGGTTTTTTGACTGCAATGGAAAGGTCAATTGTATCAACCCTGAAAATGAAGGCATCGATGAGAAGATTTGTGACATTATTGAGGATCCCTATGTGTGTTTTAACTCGCGGAAGCGTATCCCCAAAGAAAAGAGGTGTGATGGCATTGTTGATTGTCTCTCTGACTGGGCGGATGATGAGTATGGTTGTGGCCACTCCTACGGAATGGATTGTTACTCATATTACTATCCTGACTATCCTAGGTGGCAAACTCCGAGATATGTCTGCAACAACCGTATAGATCATGGCACTTCAGATGTAAAGATGAGATAGATCTTACTAAGGAGCTGTGTGAAGACCGGGTAATCGGATGGTGCTACTGGCAGGCTAACTTTGCAAGTGAACACAGCATTGAAAAGAGAAACCTTACACAAAACCACATGTGCACACCTCTTAAACCAGGGATAACTGGACCTTGTATAGATGGTAGAGACCAACTCAATTGCACTGCAGGATCTGCAACCTCACTAACTTGCACTGTTGATAATTACACCACAAGTATTACACATCTTGGCTTGTGTACGGGCTTTGATATCTGTGACGATCGCATGGATGAGGTATGTGAGATACCAGAGTATGGATGTAACACTCACAAACATACATTTTGTGATGGAGTTCAAGATTGTCCCTATGGAAGCGATGAGGGGAGGGTGTGTTATTTCATGGTTAGCAATGATACAACATGTGTTCGGAGAGTCAACTACGGATACGTAGCCCCGAAGCAAATACCAGTAGATTGGCTATGTGATGGACTAGTTGACTGTGAAAATGGTATAGATGAGGATAAAAACAACTGGAATGTATGTGGAAGCCCACAGACACGTGAACGATGTATTGAGAAAGGCAAGCCTTGCCAAGAAATGTATAGATGCGACATTACTAGCTCAACAGCATTTGTTGAACTCAAACATCTTTGTGACGGCATTTCTTTGTGTGAGAACGAAGACGATGTGTGCAAAGAATCCAGAGGAATCCCAAAACTGTCAACAGCAGTCATTCATGTTGATGGAATCAAACGAATTCTTCAGTGTCTTCCAGGGTTGGACAATTTGCAAAAGATAAGTGGTACCTGCAAAGTTTCTGAGTTTAAACAACTCGTTCCAGCATTTGGTGTAGAGCAGGTGCAAATTGAAAAACCCACTTCTTTACTGTCAAACACGTTTTGTGAACATTCCTTCGGAGAACTCTACGTTTACCTAACTTGTCTTGGCTTATGTCCTGGAATATCTTGCATCCTGAGACCTATAAGCCCAAAGAGCTGTTTGACAGGACTATCTCACAAAGTATTTACACTTTCCAAAGATAAAAAGGATTTGATTCTAGTCAAGAAGGATGGGAACTCTAAAACAAAGTACAGTCACCAGGAGATGTTCCCATGTAATAACGGTAATTGTGTGCCATATGAAAAGGTCTGCAACCTTGCCAACGATTGTGGCGATGATTCAGACGAATTGGACTGTGCCAACCATTTCCGATGTGGTTCGGGAGAATTCATCCCTCTTTCAAGTCAAGCAGATGGTAATGTTGACTGTAGAGACCAAAGTGATGAGTGTGACTCTGATAGGAATGTTCACATAATATCCCGGTCATATTTAGAGGCCAGCTCTTGGATCATTGGAATAACAGCAACGTTGACAAACAGTTTTATATTTGCCAAACAATTAGGGGCAGCATTCAGTTCAGCGACAACAATCGCTCTTTTTAACGCTGTTTTTGTCTGTTTCATAGCACTTGGTGACTTCTTAGTCGGACTTTACCTCCTTCTCTTAAGCATTGCAAATCAAATCAATAGGGACAACTATTGTAAAGAAAGATATGAGTGGTTAACAAGTAGCAGTTGCTCATTCTTAGGGGTGATAAGCACATTAGGATCTTTGTTATCTCTCTATTCCATGACCCTCTTAAGTGTTGTTCGAGCTTACAATCTCACTAAACTATCCGTCCCCCGTTCACCCACCACTACCGAAAAGCTTCGGATCTTCTTTACTTTCTTTGCAATGATGATAGTGGCTCTTCTAGTGTCATGCATTCCACTTATGCCTGTATTCGAAGACTACTTTATCAATGGAATTTATTATGGAACAGAAATACCACTCTTCACTGGTTCTCCTGATATGAAAAAGCATGAGCACATCATAGAGGCTTATTACTTCACCAAGCTTAGAGACAAATCATCCTGGGAGAGGATCCGGCGACTAATAACGGGCATGTTCACAAGTGATCAGGCACCAATCGGTGGGAAAAATCTTGGATTCTATGGAAACGATGGAGTGTGTCTTTTCAAGTATTTTGTCCACAACACAGATCCTCAAAAAGGATTCTCGGCGGTGATTTTGATTACAAATTCTGTTTGCTTCTTTACAGTTTTGGTGTCATATGGTCTTGTCACAGCTGTTGCAAGATCCTTATCATCAGCCTCAAATGCAACACGAAGTAACAGCAAGCTTCAGAGGAAGATAACAATAATCATCGGAACTGATTTCATTTGTTGGACCCCATTTGCCATTGTATCTCTATTGAACTACCTTGAATTGATTGATGCAACACCATACTATGCACTGTTTTCAACAATAGTCCTTCCCATAAACTCAATGATAAATCCACTTATATACGATCGTGTTATTACTCGAAACATAACAAACATTTTCCGAAAGACCAAGGCCAAGGTGAGAACTCTGACCGATCTGCTCTGTAAAACTCAACGGAACAATGAAGCAAGTACAGAGGAAGAACTAGAGTTAAAGACTTTGTCGAAAGTTCAAACTCTAACTAGTTTCGCACTCAGTTCCCCATTGCATCACAGGTTAGCCAGATGTGATGTTAGAGAGTTGGAGACGTTAATCCCCGGACTACACTCCAGAAACATTGTTATGTTTTAATAGTTATATATTAGCAGTATGCTATTACAATTTTTGTAATTTATTAGTTTTACTCTATATATATGCATTTAACTCAAAGTCGTCCGAAACAACTGGTGCAGTTAAATGGTCATAGAATTTTCTTAAATGAGTCTGGATTTAGATCAACAGTTGTGAACACATGCTGGATCTTGTGTAATTTTTAATCAGCGGAACTGAAATTTAATTCTGTCAAATTTCGCACCTTAACGGGTTACAACAACTTGACTAAACTTTTAAAAGTCTACCCTGACCTCCATCACACACATCACCACTGCTGTTTTGTTTCCCTATTTACTGATTCAAAGAGAAGAACTACATATATCTAAGAATCTGAAGTGTGCATGTCCTCATTGTTCAACAGCTTGCTCTTAGCTATAATATCCCTGGTTGGTAGCCAATATAACGTTTGTATGATAAGCATGACTATGCCGATGTTACGAGACATTATGCCATAAAAGGAAAACTGCCTTAAATATGAGAAATTAATTCTCATACGATCCGGGGCTTGTGCTGAGTACCAGCATCATGTTCCGAGAGTCACTGCTTAACAACAAAATCTTTAATTTAATTAATCAGTGATTTTACCATTTTGAAGGTTTTATTTTTAACCAAAAGTTTAAATTCTATAATGGCAGCTGGTTTTCAGAATAAATGTCTCATCTAGATCTTATCTACGTCTTATCTAGATTTTATCTAAATTAGTAAATGTTAGAAAGTTGTGATTTTAGTTTGAATATTATTTATTAAGATATCGTTCACCAGTCTAAGCCCTAGGGGAGGGGGTTCGGAAAAGCTTGTATAATCATTTCTACGCAATGGTTATCTGAGTAGGTTACGGGAGGGAGGGGGGTCAAAATGGCCAATAAATAGCTTACGTAATATACGATCCCTAGTCTAGAAATATTTACATTGATCACTAGTTCAGATAACGATACTTCTACTTTTTTTCAACCAACAGCTTTCTTATTCATAAATAATAAAGCATGCATTTAAAGGAATACTAACTCCGTAGCGTATGCTAATGTGATTAACTAACAATTAATTCATGTGAGAGTATCGAACATTCAGCACCACATTCTTGTATCTGGTCCACGTACGCGATATTACATGTATTATATGTTTGTTTTATGTTTATCCCTTATTCTTAACACCCCGCTTGTCTTTGTCGCGTTGCATATTATAATATATGTATACTGTATAGTGTATAGTGTATCTTGAGCACCTACACGCATTGTCTGTCTTAACCTTCTCCTCATTGCATTGACTATCTGATCTATATAGTGCGTACTGCAGTGTTATTATCATTTGCACATCCTGGAATGCACAGTTGGTACCAAGATGTTTGCACATGATGTCCCTCATTACATATTACACTTTGCAATGTTGCTAATGTTGAAAGTATGTTATTGTCTGTGAAGATTGTATCATGCTGTAGTGCTGAAGTAACTTGACACTCCGCCACCAGTAAGGGGTAGTTTTGTATCTGGTTACTCGGGGAAATATACAGATATTTCCTGTAGATTAGTACTCTGTACGTTAGTGCCATGCTTTGGCTTGTGTTGTTATTCGTGGCGACGGTGCAGTCCCTGAAGCCGGTCATACTGGTTCCAGGAGCTCTTGCCAGTAAAATCGAGGTTAGATTTAAATCATCATTGTTATAATTGTAACTTGAATTTCTTTATTTTAAATTTTTGAAGATATTTAACGATCGCTCCAGCATAGCTCAGCGTAACAGCTGACTTTGAATACATTTGACGGCGTTTGAATGACATCTGAACACAGGCAAAGTTGAACAAGAGCGAACGATCACACTTCTACTGCTCCAAAACCTCTGATTGGTACACGTTATGGTTAAAGTTGGACTCCATAGTCGCACCAGCCGTCAACTGTTGGGCTGATAACTTCAAGATGGAGTTCAGTGACGGTGTGTTCTCCAACACACCAGGTAGATCATTTCTATTTATACTTTTAATGTATTAGTTTAGTAGACCATGCACTTGTTCAACACAATTAATCTAACCAAATAACATAGTTCCATCAATTTAAACGAATTATCCTCTATGTTAAACTCTATGTTTGAACAGGTGTAGAAACAAGAGTAGCAGGGTTTGGTGACACCCACACCCTAGACTATGTTGACGACTGGAACTACATTTCCTACTACAAAGACCTGGTGGAGGGGATCATGTCTCAGCCAGGAGCTGAAGATGGGGTCTCTGTTAGGGCTGCTCCGTATGACTTCAGATATAGCCCCCCCTCCAGTCAATCTAAACTCTTCTTTCACAAGTCAGTATTTGAGGGGTCAGGTCCACTTTTCAGTTGCTGTTTTTTTGATACCTTGCTTTATGCAGAATGTGGCCAACGCATCAAAAATCAAAGTTAGCACTTTATCATTTTACTTTTTAGCCGGGAATGAAACTGTCCAATAACCGGCAGATTGAAGATGTTGATAGAGGACACGTATAACTACAGTGGGAGCAAGGTAGTTCTAGTTTCACACAGTCTGGGAGGACTGACCACTTCCACATTCCTTCACACAATGTCACAGCAGTGGAAGGATCAGTATGTACACGCCTGGGTGTCCGCTGCTGGCGTGTTTGGAGGTGCTGTTAAGGTAGTAGAAACTTTAGCAATAATATGCAATTATGGTTTAATTTTGTATATGCCTTTTTAAATATTACTATTCGATAATATATAACAAAACTGCTAATTAAAAAAAGTTGAATTATCAAAATCAGAATTTTTATGTGTCATTTTGGAGGCTTTCTCTGAATTTTGCTCTTTGAAATAGCCAAAATAAGACGTTCGTTAAACCATATTCTATGTAATCAATGCTAAATTTTAACAGGAGGTGAAGGTTCTGGTTAGCCACGGTGTAGTTGATCTACCAGACTTTGTAGTCAACAGACTAGTTCAACGAGATGTGGTAAGTCTAATACACATTTCTATCAACAATATCAAATATTCGCAATGTTCACAAAAACAAGACGACAATAATGCGTTAAAAAAATAAAAAAGCAAAGGTACTGAGGTGATTGAAATAAATAAATAACACCACCAAACTACTCAAGTTTAACTCACACTAAACACACCCAGGCGAGGACTATAATGGGTAACTACTTCATGTTACCCCGTTACCCGGTGTGGGGTAAGGACGAGGTGCTCGTACAGACACCCCGCACTAATTACACTCTGGGAAACCTTGAACAGTTGTTTGCTGATATGGGCGTCACAGATGGTATGTAAATTAATATTTGATGATAAAAACTACTGCACATCTTAATATTATTAACAATATTTAAACACACATAATCATGTACAACAAATCACTGAATTAATTATTCACAAGAGGACATTCCGGAGAGATTAACAGTTAGAACTACCGTTTAATTGGTTCAGGTGTAGAAAAGTGGAAGACAGTGCGGAATGCTAGTTACACAGGAGATCCCGGTGTACCAACACACTGCTTTAACGGGAAGGATGTTCCTACCTCTGCCTCTTTCTAGTAAATACTGACGTTTTAATTTTATAAAACAAATTTGCTTCGATGGGGAATCTTAATAATCACAAACAAAATCGTATTGAAAAGTTGATAAAATGAATTAGTATAAAGCCTTAAACAGTTAAACATGGAAAGATCGTCACATAATAACTAAATTTAAATTGAACAAGTTACTTTTAAGGGGGCCGGGGCCGGGGGGGTCTTCATCAAAATTCTCTCGAAAATGACTTTAAATAGTTGTTTCTGGTAGATATCTACCAGCTGCTTTTGGTCCCATGGAAAAATATTGTTCCTAGCCGAAATTATCGCCGGTCTAAGGTCAGCGCTTATGTGTAATTGTATTGCGCGAGCGTTTTTCAATCGCAAATTCTGAAAATCGAGTCTAAAAATCTATCTTCTCCTACATTTTTTGAGCAATCACCCTGAAACTTTCAGGATATGTTCTAGGGACCATTTAGAAGATTTGATCGAGCCAAAATTTTGAGATAGGCCTTTAAACATTTTTTATTCAATTTTGAAAATCTTGGACCTCGTTTTTTTACGATTTTTTCAGGTCCAAGATTTTCAAAATTGATTAACCCCTTGACAAGTAACTTACTTCTTTTTACAGTTACAAGGACCAGAAAGATTTCCCAGATGTAGTACCGGAGACAGTGTCAGGAGACGGGGACGGTACCGTGCCAGCCAGATCACTTCAGGTAAATTATTATATTGTGTCATGTGATCAAAATATCATCCTTTAAATATTTTACATATTTTTAGGGTTTTTAGTCTTAGTAGTTGAAGATTGTGCCACATAACAGGACTTCTTAATGATATTGTACTATTGCACTTAAAGTAGCAATTAAGTTGTTAACAATGTTATTTTAAATACGCTAATTATAATATTATATGTTACCACCAGGTGTGTCACAATTGGAACAGTACTGTAACAGTCACGGAGTACAGTGGAGCTGACGCGGGAGAGCATGACAAGATAGTGGGAAACAAGGAGTTTATCAAGAGCATTATCGAGCTTATCTCTTAATACAAATATGGGACATGTGGTGATGTGCACAGTGATTGATGGCTGATTTATCGATGATTATTTATTGAATTGGGTATAATTTATTTAATACTGATTTAATCGAATTTCAAAAAATCACTCACAAACAGACAAACTTACTTGTATCAGGCTGAGCAAATACCGGCAAGCGTTACAAAAACACGCTTCTTAGACGTTAACTCTTCATAGTATAGCTAGAGTGAATTGGTTGCAATGAGAAAATTCCGTGGATATAATTCAGCAATTTCAGCATAAGATATCAGTGAAACCTAAACTTATCGGGAAATTGAAATTGAATATTTCTAGTAAATCGGAGTTCATGATATATCTGGGTATTGATTTACAGTAAACGAAAATGTACATTGTTGGAGAAGTAAGAAAGTCGGCAGTCGTGGTTTCCAGTTAATTAAGGCACAATATATCAGGAGTTTGACTGAAACAGAATTTTTCAAAACAATAACGACGAAGGTTATGAAAGCAAAGAATCTAAAATAAATATTAAAAGAGTTGTATTTAAAGTCATGAATTTATACGTTAACTCCTTGTCCATTAAATATGCTTGTGACATTGGAAATGACTGTAATCGGTGGGGGAAATCGATAGTGGAATGTTATAAATGACTTGCTCAATGCCTCGCACATAGCACATACTTTTCCAATGATTTCTTATTATTAACAGACTAACCATGATCGTCATTACAACAAACCGAGTTATAGAACATCTGAACAAATATGGTACACAGATCTCAAACTCACTTCAATCGCTCTCCTCCTCATCGTCAATGACTGCAGGTTTCTTCTTTTGTTTCTTCCTGTCGTCATCACTGTCACTTTCAGTTGCCACCGCTTCTTCTTCCTCTTCATCCTCACTAAGAAGTGGCTCCTCCTCTTCTTCACTGCTGTAAACTTCTGAAACTTTCTTTTGTTTTGTCTTTTGTTTCTTCTTAGCTCCCCCGGATTTGTAAGAGTTTTTGATGGCGGAGAGAGATTCGCCCTCGTCCTCTTCGTCGATATCCGGCTCTAGATAACGGGTGCTGATTGTTTTATTTATGTTTTTCTCCCTGATTTTCTTCTGCATGTTCTCCCTTCGTCTGGAAGCAGCCTGGCGTTCATCCTCCTTCTTGCACATTTCCTCTCGTCTTGTTTCCGGGTTCTTTCCAACTGCCGGCAGAGTTTTTGCTTTGGATGCCTTGCTGACTCGGTCTGATATTCTCATGGTTAGTTTACGATGGGTGTAGGAGTCTGTTGAGTGTATCCTGAACATCATCTTGTTGTGGAACTGAGCTTGTCCCTGGATACCAGCACCATGTTTAACATAAAGATGACTGTGGGACCCTGTTAGGGGAGCCTGTATTATGTCGAATTCTTCAGATCCTACAAACAAGCTCATAGTACCGTCACTCCATCTCACAATCTTACTGTTACTCTGTTTGATCAGATTGCCCTGCTCGTCCAACGCATGTTTCCATCTGATGGTGTTTTCCACTTTCAGTTTCAGTCGAGATCTACCTTCGTCGTCTGTAATTTCGTTATCGTCCTCAATCTCGTCTTCGTAAGTTTCAGCATCGAATGGTCTGGTGTCGATGGAAACAAAATTTGGAAGTTTGACAAGATTTAAATTTTCTCCGAGTTTGATGTCAGTCAATGGCATCTCAACTGGTAGCTCACTCTCTTCGTCAACCTTGTCTTCATCGCTCTCTCCGTCCGACCGATGAATAGTTGAAGAAATAGGATCGTCGTCGGACCCTGCTTTGGGGGAATCTGCTTTTGGACTGGCTTGTTTTGGTGCTTGATCATCATCTGACATGGAGAGATCAGATCCAAATATGTCCTCCTAAGGGAAAAAAAGCAATATAAACTTGTGGGACAGTGGAGAATAGAACAGAAATTGTGGTTTGAACCTTTGATTTCAAGCAGTACGTTAATTCCAAACCGTACATAAATGAAATTAATTTTAGACTAATTTCGAAAAATAATAACCTGAGTAGCAGCAGCAGTAGCTGAATCAGCAGGTTTCTCTACATCACTATCATCATCAATATCACTACCAAATAGATCTGCTGCGGTCGTTTTAGATGTTTTGTCGATCTTATCGTCGTCATCAGAGTCCCTGAGTAAATCGATTAGTTTTTATTAAATTTATGAGTGCAGAAACCGATTCCTGGGACAGATTATTTTTATAGCAAGTTTAATAAATTACATTTAAGTACTAACTTGAAAAAATCGTCCGCATTTTGGAGAGGTCGTACAGCAATGGGTTCAGGTTCACTCTTAGGGACAGGCACAACCGGGTCATCTTCATCAGAATCATCGTCACTTCCGAACAAATTCTTGTTTAACTGCCTTAGATCTGAGTAAAAGTAATATTAATTTATAGAGAAATTAAATATGGCAAACATTATTCGTTTTAGTACGATTAAGCATGCAATAATTTGAATCGAGCAATATTATATAGAATATCTCACCTGACGCCGTTTCAGCGTCATCGTCACTGCTAATGGTTGTTTTCCGCTTTTCATGACTCCTATTTGTGCTTATGTCTTCATCTGAATCAAATTCTGGTGGTTTCATGGGCTTCAGAAGCTCTTCTCCCATAGAAAAACCTCTTGATTCGCCTGTTTTGACCTGAGAGAAGTTTAGTCAAAGGTACAAACACGATTATACTAAGTTGGAAAATAGTGCCCAGAAAAGCCCATCGGTAAATTTCGTTGGACATTTCCTCTCGGGAATAGTGAGTCCAAAATGACAGACTTCTACTTAAAATGTCAGAATTGCATTCAAACAATATCACGTGTCCGTCAGAATATTGTGCTATACAAATTTCCAAGCAGTGATTGTCAGATTCGGTCGTGCAAAGCGTGCAAAACGTTCATCTTTCTGAAGTACCAAGTCATCGCGCGTTCCAAAAACAGATACAGAAAAATGCGACCGATAATAAGCACACGCGAAATTTCTTTTCTAAGAGCCGGAAACACCTGCAGATAAGATTAAATTCCTAACACTGTTTGAGGGAACAGATTCCAATTCTTCTTCATCTTCAATGTCCGATATTTGGTTAGCGTCTGGTCGGTAATCGTCTTCATCTTCTTCATCCCCCAAATCACCGAACAGGTCTGATAACGACATTCCTAGCGATACTGTGGAAGTGAAACAAATATTTTTTAAAACTTTCTTACGTCTATTTATGGAACAATTGAACATTTGGCTGCCAATCAATTCGATGTGGTATAAAAACATTATATTTACATTATTAGGGGATAAAGAAACACAAAAGAGAGATAGACAATCCATATTTCAGATGTATTATGAGAATTTACAAGAATGGTGTAAAGTAACACATTAACAAGAATAGGCGAAAGACAACTTCAAACTTTTGAAATTAATTTATCAACGTCACAAATGCCGAACGTAATCAGTTCCGAGCTCTAAAATTCGTTCAATACTTCTTGAGCATATTATGAGTCATATAATGTTTTTTAGCAGCTGGACTGAAAATTTGAGTAGTTCCCTCGGGGAACTCATTCATATCAACTACCGGAGCCATTCTATGTCTAGGACCACCTTCAATTGAACTGGCGTACACTGACATGGGTAAGTCTACGTATTTTGGGCATGGACACTGCCCTCTGATTTCACAAATACACTTCGCTTCTGGAATACTCCACGAACGTTTGTTTTCTGGTGTTATTCTTTCCTCATATTCTAAATCATTGCAACCTGCAATTTTCATGAACTCTTCAACAAGCTGGGTTATAGGTTTGGGCTTTACAAAATCTTCGTCACCATCCAAAAACACCACTCGTCCATTTTCAAAACAGATCTTGATTCCAGTTGGACCATTGCCAATTGTAGTCTTAAAGATCTGCTTATCCTGATTCCGATACACAAGATGTGGAGAGAGTTCATTCCAGAAATACTTGACAGTTTCGCTGCTATACTGATTAGAATAAACGACGTTAACAGCAGCTACCTGTTCGGTAAGAAGCATAGCTCGCTTCCTGAGGAAGTGTTCCAGGTATCTCCGGTATGGGTACATTCCCTTCGGCTCCCCGATCCGCCTCACTGTGTGAACCACCATGTCTACAAAATTTTCGGTTAAAAAAGTGCGAATGGAAATATTTGACTTACTTTTTTGTTATTATGTACATCGAATAGTCAATTATTGTTGATTTTGGTCTGCATATTTCATATCATGATTTAAACAATAAATTTGATCCAAACAGTTCTAGTTGGTTGCACAGTAAAACTCAGTTCAATGGATGAATTAGAAAATTTAAAAACTTGTCAAAACTCTACAACATTCCAAGCCATATGTTTAAAACAAACTAATTGAAATAAAATATGCTACAAAATATGAAATAAAGCTCTACCATGTTATGTAATAAGACTTTCAAATAAATAGTGATACGTAAAGAACAGATTAATAGTTTCTACTACTGCAATAAAAATAATGCAGCAATGAGAGGTGAAATGTACAAACAAGTTCATTACTCACTGAGAAGCCCTCTGAGTTGATGTCTGGCTGTTCATCTGTTTTAGAAGTTTCTCCACTTCAGCAACAAAGCCCGGGAAGTTTGGATCTGACAGACACAAAGTCAACATGTGCCGAATCTGCTCCTTGGGGAACACTGTTTTGGAGTAAAGTTCACCCAACAACTCGGTCACATCACCATTCAGCATCATCTTACTCATATCAGATACGAGGAGCTTCTTGCCCGTCCCTTGTAGTGGATCTTGCTGAAACTGAGAGAACGCCTCCTTAGTGTACTCCTTCTCGAATTTAAAGTATGCGTTTAAACATGTGGCACATTCTATTGCCTGTGCATCAGCAGTGCCTTCGTTATCTGGAAGGAATTTAAACCTTATCTTTCTTACTGAATCACTCAGAGGACTTTTTATCATGAGGAGAATAGCAGCTCCTTTTCTGACCCCCTTAATCCACGTGGTTGACTCCCACAGCATGAGAGATTCGTGGATTTTTGTGGTGCCTTGAGCAACGATAAGTTTGTGATCATTTAAGATGGACAGTGTCACTGGTTCTTGAGGGGTGGCGACAGTGTGACTCCATTCTTTCACCTGCTTGGCGTATCGTTCAAGCTTCCACGTTCTTGCAGATAACATCCTGTGTCCTGTCTGAAATCTAATCAGACAAAGAAATTTAACAAAATAAAGTTGCATGAAATGAATGTCAACTGCTTTGATGAATGTGGAGAAAGAAAATTATCGTATTATCAGCAAATCTTTAATAATAGCATCCAATACAAATGTGTGAGTCGAGTCAAATGATAGTGAATGAGTAAAATTAATCTGATAAATAATCATAACATCACATGTAGAAATATATTTAAGAATTATACGATCTTTTAAAAAATATATATTATCATATAATTTGCAAAATATTATGTCATGGGCATCATATAAAAAGGCTCGTGCATTTCATGCTTTTAGATTTCTAAAAGAATCCACTATCAAAATACAGTGTGGCGGAAATCAATGCTTAATTGAAACTTTAATAATGTGTAACTGGCAAGATAACACTACATTTCATGATTATCATTCTATTTATACTTCTTCATTATCTAACCCTAAACCTAGCTTTTGAGCAAACACAGATACTGCTTTAGATCGGATACTTTCAACTCCATACTTAGCTGTTCGTTGGTTTAAAATAAATTCAGTCTCTGTTTCCGACAACAATTGCCCATGGGAAACAAATCCAAACTTCCTGGTAATGAAAAACCCCTCGCTAAGCTGATCAATCATAGTTTCCTCCAATGGATACAAACACCATCCGCCAACTCCAAATATGATGTTTAGATATCTACCATAAGTACCAGCGTGGATTAGTTTAGCACCAGCTTCAGTTATGAAAATATCCTCTTTCGATATCCAGTAATCTTTTTCTTGGGATTTGTGTTGCCTCGACTGTAATTTTCTTCCATCAAGATAGGACATTTGACGTCTTTTTAACAGTTTTGAGGAGCTGACAATAGAACTAGTGGTAAACAAAGAAGAGGAATTCCCCAAAACACTTGATTTTGCAGCAAAATCAGATTCCTCATTTTCGGCTAAGTTGAAGTCTATTTCATTATTTCTATATGGACAGCGGTGAGCCATAGCAAGTCTGTTTGTTATTGGAGCCGGCAGGTGGGGAGAATTGACGAAAAATTTGTTGTCTGCTAAAATTAGCCTTTCTCCTAGAACAGCAACGTGGAGGGATCGTCGACTGAGGCCTGGGAGCCATGTTTTCAGTTTCATACCCTGGATAACATGGCGTTATTATTTATGTCAAATCAATAAAAACCCAGTACATAGTTGCTCATTTTCATTAATTTATAATGTATTCGTTCAGTAAGTAATGTAAGTAAGAAAGGAAAATTAAGGGCCTATCAGTATTGCAAAGAATTAGGGGACTCTCGTAATCAGATCTCTTATCTGAGATAAGCAGTAAAACCATTTTTCTAGTAATTAAACGTTTTTACTTAATAATTACTACAGTAATCAAAAATTTTACAATCTACATCAAGGAAAAAACCATAATTCTTATTGACAAAAACACGGATATAAAAAATAAGAAAGTAACATTGAAAAATAAAACAAATCTTAAATGTATGTTAATGTATTTTCTGTACTTACCAGGCCATGGTAATCTAAAAACTGTTATTAAAATTAATTTTAAAAATCTGACATTAAATGTAAATAACTCCAATCAAGATAACTAATAAAATCTACAAACCCACACTACTAGATCACATTACAGTCTCCAGTGTTACAATGAGGCAGAGGAACCAAAATTAAAACAAAACTAGGAATTCAATCTAAATCCGGGTTTCAAGCAAATTCCAGTCCTCAATCATTTTATAATCCCCACTTTCTCCCTCATATTTATACTCCTTGTTTCGGTAAGTCGAAGGATTCACACCTCGGTCCTTTCCAACGGAATCATACAGTCGGCTCAGCGCCTCCATGTCATTCTCCAGCTCAAGTAAAATCCCACACATGTCCGCTAGATCCTTGTTGTACTCGAATTGTTCGAGATGTAAACCATATTGATACTTCAAATGTAGGTCAGGTTTCCTCTTCACCAGATTCCATGCTTCCTCTAAACGCTTCTCATAAGAATCCAACTTTATCTCTCCAGAAGTATTTGCCGGAAGTAGAGTGCTTGGTACTCACTAAACGGGAAGGGAGCAATGAAGACACACTGGTTGAAAATAGCCATTGTCGGATACTTGGGGTTTATTGCAAACTTGTACAGAGGCCTAGGAATGACATCTGTTTCTATCAAACAGTCAGGATCAAGGTACTGTAAATTCGTATCATATCCTGTTGCAAATATGATAACATCAAACCTGTGACCTTCAGCATCTCCTTTAAAATACACAACATCCCCCTCAAACAGTACAGGTTCAGTGTACTGGAAAACCCCTGGTGTAAGTCCCACTTTCAGTTCCGGTCTCCTGTGGCTGATATCTGCTTTCACGCCATGCTCACAGAGATCTATTAATAGATCGGTTCCAGAAGCATGTGCTCCAACTATCAGCACATGTTGTCCTTCGTAGAGCTCTGGAGAGGAGTAGTCCTTGCTGTGCTCGTATCTACCAGTGTAAGTATCCAGTCCTTTTATTGGGGGAATGTGCGGGGTGTCATACCGGCCCGTACATATTGCCACTGCATCAAACAAACGTGATCCTGAAAACATGGATTTCTTGAAAAAGATAAATGAAATTTATTGATATATGTGACGCATATGTAAAAATCAATTAATATTAACTTCTCCCAAAACAGGAAGGTTTTATACTTGGTTGTGTGGAAAGACTAGGTTGTGCCGAAAGATTAAACTTTTGAACTATACGATACTATTCCAAAGAATGTTAAAATGATTACTTCTAGAACGTATGTAATTGTTGTAAAGAGGAAAAATGTTTAGTCATGAAACATAAACAAAAGCTTTTTGTTGGTATAAAGTTAAATCTATGCTAAGTAATAATCTTCTTTACCATGAAAAGAAATGGCCACGGTATAGTTTCACAGTATGGAGAGTTTGTATATTATATACACAATTATCTACATAGCATCTGTCAGGGTCACAATAAACAATCTACAGTACGAGTATATGTCTGGTATACCATCCTTTGGGTTAAACACCTTGTATTTAATTCAAATTACACTAAACTAAAAACATCAACACTAAATTTATCAACACATGCTTAAAAACCTATTGTATTTAAATACATTATATAAAATTAATTGAAACCAAGGACATGACAGATGGTGTTGTTTTCATGTAAAATATTGAACAAAGTGAACACAGACTTTAAGAAAATAAACACCTCATCAACGTACATTAAATAAATGCTGATTTTAATAGAACTACAATATTTTCAAAATGGGCACATTTAGTTTCATTTTAGTTGATTCTATATTAGGTACCAATTATACCTGTCCCAATAAATTGACATCATGCATCATATCAAATTACTCTTCCCTTCTTTTAAAACCCCAAGTTTTCCCAATGAGAATTAGGCCAGTCCCGATACTCTAAAGGGTTGATATTTCGACAATGTAGAACTTTTTCATGAAGAGTAACACCATACTCATACTCAATCAAATGATCGCCTATAATGTTTCCAATTTCACGATAGTAATCCATGTGATTCTGCATTCCATTCGTCGAAAGATAAAGTTTACGATCACTTAATCTTTTGCTATGATTTATCAAATTGTTTGCTTCTTTCAACATACAGTGGGTCTCAGAAGGCAACTTGACTGTTTTATTGAGTAATTTTGCAAATAAAATTGCCTGATACTCGCAAAGCAAGAAAGGAGTTATCGTGAAAAGTCTGTCAAACAGAGCCATAGATGGAAAGTGAGGATTTATCATGTACAGATAAAGAGGAACGACAGTCAAATCACCTTTAACAGATAGCCCACACGACTTATCTATAAAGGAAACGTCTGTATCAAACCCAGTGCACATTAGTATAGCATCACAGATTACTGAATGACCATCATTAAATTTTATATCCTTGTTGTTCAAACTTGAAATAGATTTCCGGATTTGAATAACGTCGTCAGGAAAACCAGGTAGGTCTTCTGACTTTCGATGGAAAAGAACAATTTTCTTGCCAGCTTTCCACAGCTCTAAGGCTATGTCTACTGCAGAATTAGCAGCTCCAACAACAAATATACTTTCATGATCAGTAAAATCTGATGGATCTTTGTATGTTGAGCTATGATAAACTGCTCCAGAATAATTTGTCAGGTCAATGTCATCAGGATACCGTGGTTCATTGAAGGAGCCGGTACAAACTGCTACAGCATCATAGGTCTTTTGGCCTGCAAACGTTTTATTCCACTTTTTTCTAAACACTCAAAAACAATATTAAGATGTAAAACTTGAGACAGTTGGTGTTTCAGATGAAGTTGATGACTGAGTTTTCAGGTCAGTGATGAGAGTGAAATATTAATATTTACCAGTCAATTTTTCAAATAAATGATTAAAATTATGAATTGCACATTGAGATGGCGAAGAAAATACGATTTTCAACCTATATTGAATATATAATATTATAGATTTTAAATTTTTGTCAAACATAATATTATACACTTACCATTAGCCGTGGACACAATCCATTTAACAGGGTCAGTTGAGGTTTCTGGTTTAACAGAGGTGACAGGAGTATTGAATTGGATAAGGTCTGCTATCGAGAATTTCTCACTATAATCCTCTAAATATTTCATCACTTGCCCATGAGTGAGAAAAGTTGGAATATCTTTATGATAAGGAAGGTCTCTAAAAGTCATCAGTTGTTTTGGCAAGTTTGTTCTGAGGTTCTTGTACATAGGAGTGTGCTTAACTCCTGTCTCATGTTTATTGTACAACCAAATTCCGCCAATTGATGGAGAAGCTTCATAAACGGTTACACAAAACTTTTCTCGCAAATATCTAGCAGCAACAAGACCAGCCACTCCTGCACCAATGACACAAACATCTTTCATTATCTAAAAAGAAATGGTTACTGTTATTATACTGTGGGATCATCATTGGATTATAATACACATATAAATAACACTCAAGAAATACTTTTAATTCTGTAATATCATATCTATATATCAGAATTGACTTTCATATCAGTTATTGATAAATGTTCAGCTAAAATGTTAAATATGACTTGACTTTAACAGTAGGATAAAACTGTCTGTGAATTATTTTTGTTGCAATTAATCAATTAATGACTACTAAAAGTAAAACTTCAGCGAGTCCTAAAGTACATAGGTGTAACAATAAAACAATTGTGTTATCTCCAAAGAATAAATCCTAATTATAAGAAACATCTTTACCGATTCAAGTAAATTTAAGATAAATCAATTTCAGCTGATTTGTTAACATTAGCAATAGGTTTGGCATATTTACATTGAATCCAAACTCTATACATTTTCAGTTTTCTAGCTCTGTTAACTTGCAGTCTCCTGTCAACAATATTCTGCACTTTTTCAAGGCCAGCATCTGTAAATAATTTGTCCATCTCATCTTGTGTAAAAAAATAAACTTTTGTTCCATCACCACGAGCATAAAAATTATCTGAGAGGCATCTTCCGTTTTTAAACCTCAGTTGCGCTAAATCATAACGCCCGTAATCACGAAAGAGGATGTGACCACCAGGTTTGAGATATTTAGAGAGATTTTGGATGCAATGAGCCATGTCATCAGGATTTAGTGCAGATAAAACAAATATCATAGTTATGAGATCAAGACTTTCTTCAGGAATAGGTACTTGCAAAGATTTCTGTGAGATGTCACAAACAAAAGCATGACACTTGTCATCACTGTACAACTTACTCGACTTCACAATATCAACTGCAGTTGACGAAAAGTCACACCCATATACAAAAATATTTGCATTTTCATCACTGTGCTCTATGATGGGAAATATGGTATTTCCAGCACCACAACCAACTTCAAAAATATTCACCCTTTCTACATTTTCCGAAGAATCTTTTAGTTCAGGAAATTCAGTGAACAACCAATGTCTGTCTTTGAAAAACTTGTTATTATGGATCCCATAGAATTTATCCCATTTTTTAGCAGAGTTGTTGAGTACATCTTGGTATACATCTTCAGATGGACGGCAGCTATTTTTTGACACTGTATCTTGTGCAGCTAATTCTTGTTCTTCGCCCCAGTCGACCATATCCCAAGCATTATGGGCAAAGACTTCTGCATCATCTGTTAAAAATCTCTGTCCAAACTGAGGTCTTTTCTCCATAGCACAATTGTAGGTTATCTATTCAAAAATATTGTGTTTATCAGGATAAATCAAAAGAAGCTTATACATATTCTTGTATTCTTTTCATGAATATTTTGTCCAGTTTTAGGCGTTGGATATATCAAAAGAGCAATAAATTACACATACAACTTGTCTAATCACAAACAGTTGGCCTTTCGATTATCAAGAAACAGATATGCGAAGTACATCATTGTTTCCAATTCAATTGAAAGGATCATGTAGATAATAAGTAATAAGAATATAGATAAAGAGGGTATTGTAAAAGGGAGTATCCTAAGAAGATTCTTGATCTTTTCGCAGGGACCCTCCTTGGTTATTATTTTTATTTGGGGACCGGCTTTTGGTACACCGGTCAAATGTTTACAAAATCATATGGTACATAACAATATAATTGTATTCAATATATAAGTGAAAATGAGAATTGAAAATTATGGTGTTAACCCTCACTGTAAAATGTATCCTCGACCAAGGAAACATTACACAATTGTGTAAATTTGCATAGATCCAACAGATCCTTAGATTTCTCCTAGGGCTAGGTGACATGATAATAGAACCGGACCCTGGACCTTCTGCATAGAAGGGCGGCCGTCTAGCATGTTTCTCAGAATCAATTTAATGTCGAAACGCCGTTGTCTCCAGTGATCGAGCTTAACAACTTTGGTGACAGATTACATGAATGAGTAGTAACATTGTGCCATTTGCAAAGTCTCAAACATGAAACATATTTATGTTATGAGAGCTCTAACATTTTCACACCGACTTCTGGACCTAGCACTTTTAAGCCCATTTCCCCTCTTAACTAGAAAAAAAATTGTTTTAGACTCCTTAGGAATGTTATCAGAAGAAAGTATATTTTTAGTAAAACTCAGCTTAAGCTTATTGTTAACAGCATTATCGTCTGCAAATTGGATTACTGCAGCGCCCTTTATTTTGGAATTAGTGACTACCTCATCCATCAGCTTCAACTCATTCAAAATGCTGCTGCTAAAGCTATAGTAGGACAATATAGTAATAGTTAATAGTTAATAGTAATAGCACTATGTTTACAGTATGCACTGAAGGGGTATCCTAGGAAATTTCTTGAACTTGCAACAGGTACCCCTTCTCATATTTTAACCCTCAATTCAGTTTCCTATCATTCGGCTAAGTTGACTGAGAAGATCCTTAGCTAACAAGAAAACAACAATTTTTTTCAAGAAAACAACAATTTTTTATTTAAATCAATTATAGCGACAATTTGAAAAACTTTAAAGTTCTTCTATTACCATGGAATATACTACGGGTATGGTGACTTGGGCTATTGAGTTGTTAAGTAGATTAAGATTAGTAAACCTGCACTTGCATCGTATTTATAAAAACTAGAAATTAGGCTTCACGGTAAAATGGAGAAGCAGGCTGATCTTGGAGAGAGCAGACCGTAAAGTTTACGCACCCACCAGGGCTACCTACCTACCCCAGTTGTTCTTTTTGGTTTATCAGCTTGTATTGTTATATTTATGGACCCCAAGTCACCACACTAAGAAGGAGTATGTAAAAAAAAATAAGTTAAGTTAATATCATCATATCAGTTTAAAACAGTAAATGTTAAGTTGAGGATTGAATTTCCTAGTTAATTTAATGGTTCAAACGTTTGGGAATATAATAATGTTGGTATTTGTATCTGCTGCAGCAATAATATCGATATGTCATTTGTCTAGAAAATTTAGAAAATTTTCGCCACTTCAATAGATATTGGGTCGGCAATTTGGTGAGTGAGTGATGAACTGGTTTGGTCTGCGACTGAGTGAGGGGCGATGTGAAAGTTGTGGTAAGTCCAGGTGTTATTATTGTTGATGGATTGGGATCCCAGGATGATAGTTTTACAGCGTAATTTAACCAAAGATACAGAAGTAGTGAGGATTTCCCCATTCTCATTTAGAATCCGTTTATGTATGCTATTCCACAATTTGGAGGCTATATAAAGAAACGTGTTGGTTTTTCTTGGGAGGATTATGACATTACTTGTATCACGTTTTGATGAGTCTATAGTACAATACAACGAGTATGGAGTGCGAAATTTCATAATTCGAAATATCTCAGATATACAGTGGTATTTGTACAAGTTTTGAACAGTAAGCAATTTTAGTCGATTAAAAATGGGCTTGGTGTGCTCCTTTTCGAAAAAAGCAGCTCCTAACCTCTGTTTTGTATAAGGTCTGGCTCGTGCACAAGTGGCATGTTTGTCAAGGTATGCATTTAGGTCTCCAAAAAGGATTCTTATACAACGTTTCTGAGTTATGAACAGCTTATCGTTTGGTTGGTCTTTGAGGGCTGAGCCCCAAACACTTATTCCGTAAGCAAGATGTGATTCCAATAATGCAGAGTATATTTTTTGGTAGTGTTCCCCTGGAACTGAATGTTTAATCCTGTTAAGTGCTCCTGTAGTGGATCTAATTTTTTTCTTAGATATTCTATATGTGGGCCCCAGCTAAGTTTTTCATCAATTACTACACCAAGAAATTTGGTGTTGCTAACCTTGACAATTTTGTGTCCATTTATAAATATTCCTTGTGATTTGTCATATGGTCATTGTAAAGTTTGCTTTGCCCAAATTTGACTGCCAAAATTGGTACAATTTGACCGGTTGAGCTATTTAGTGAGCTAGCATGCCACCTGGTGTTCACCCTTTGTTAATATTTCACCCAGATGCAAACAAATGTTCACTGGACACTTTAACATGTAATCTATATGTGTTACTCAGCCAATGTGGAGCATATCAGTGCTTCAAAGTGACATTTTAAAACTTTTTGCAATCTCGTTGGTAACTGAATCTGGCAGTCAAAACAGGTTGAGACTCTCAGAAAAAGGTCCCATCTACACAGAAAGCCCCGGTTGAGACAACTTTTAATGCTCAGCCTGTGTGGAGCAGTAGCTTGAAAGTTAGGCAATTTTCAAGACCAAAAATCATACGCTAAACAGTCAAGTTTTTGGTTGAAACTCTATGAACTTTTTAGTTGAAACCCCTCTCAAGAGTTTTTGACTATTTGCGATAACACACCATGTCTCAACCGACGTGGAGCGAGGTTTTGGCAATGTAGAAATTTGTAAATTTTTAATTTATTAGCTTTTCATAATGCTTTTGTTTAGATCTGTAAGATTTTTTTAGCTTGGTAACTCTTACTAACTCTATTTTGAGTACTGAAACGGATATTTATATTCAGTACACTTCTCTCAACCCTGTGGAGCCCAAAATGGTTAAAAATTTGCCAACTTTTAAATTCTTTCTGGGTTGAGATAAAGTGACTTCTGTGATTTACATCTTGACTCCTGTATCTATATTTTCACCGTTGATGCCGACTCTTTAGTCGAGAACAGCCTATCTCAACCATGTGGAGCAAAAAGAGGTCTTCCTTTTGATCAATCGAGACAACTTTTAAGTGCTTCATGGGATATTATTTTTATTCATTCTAGAGAAAATATGTTATAATATTGGTGGTCAATAAACTTACTTCACGGGAACTATTCAGTGCTCAACCTGTGTGGAGCAGAGATGATTTCTGTTGTATTAGATTTTTGAAGCTCACTACTTCATTCTACAGCCGCATGCAAGAGAGATCTTCATTAAATGTTAGGCAGTTGAGGAATCCCGTACATGACATGTCATTTCTAGCTCTGCTCCACTCTGGCTGAACAGTTCTGGAACATCAATCATGGCCCAATCATGGTAAGAAAAGTATTTCAGTAAACTTTAAATTGCATTACGTACAAATTGGCTACAGATCGACCATCATGGAGACTCTTTTTACCGTAGAAAAGCCTGTTGCTCCTCACGGTTGAGCATATTGTCTTTTTCTATGGTGGCACATTTCTCTTTAAAGGACACAGTACTACATACATCAACAGCTTCTTAAGTATTGATGATATCATTCCTCCTTTATCCTAATATAACAACACTGATCCTTACAAATAGTTGTGTTATCAATCTATCATTCCATTCTGCTCCTCTCTGGTTGAGCCTATTAAATACAATTTTTCAATCTGTTCTGCTAGTAATTTATTGTAAAAGCTAAAATACTCATTCTAATTTCTCATCCAAGTCATATCAGCCGATGAGGAGTCATGTTATGCAGTAAAAGTCCTCTGCTCCACATGGTTGAGCATTACTAGGTTTATCAGCAGTTCCAAAGAATAGAGTCAGGGGGTCTGAACATAATCACAAGAAAAAATGATATTTTTATGGCCTGATTAGATGTATTTATCGTTTTTAATCACACTCACTTTCAAAACTCAGTTTCTTCCCAATCAGTATTCCCAACTTAGGTATAATAGTTTCGTGCTCCGCATCGGTTGAGCAAGGTGTACCATTATTGATAATGTTATCTGGTGCGTATTCCTTTAAACTAAGATTTTGTGAAAAGACGGAGATTCTACTGTAATGTTTACCCCTGGTTGAGACGAAAAATATGAGTATATTTCGACTGCTCCACACTGGCTGAGGTCCATTTTATGATTTGGCAGTGAAAATATTTTGCAATTAACGTCCAGGATCTATTTGTTAAATGGCGATCAAAATAGTCAAAAAGCATAGATTTTATTGGGGTGCTCCACACTTTTTTGCTCCACATCGAAAACCAGGTCATAACTTTTGCTCCACATGAGATAGAAACTTCATTCCAAAGAATTCAGAAAATTCGGAATCTTCAGATGAAAATGATATCAGAAAGGATTAAATTGCTCTTTATCAACCTGCTCAAAAATTTAAATCAAAAAGTAAGCAAAATGGGCAAAGCAAAATTGACAATGACCATATTCATTGGCATACGGCCTAACCCTGGCGCAGGTTTCATCAGATTCGTATGCAGGTAGAAAATGTATGTAGCAGCATTTAGACATATTTATATGTAAGAGATTACTTCTCATGAATTTGCATACGAAATCAAGAACTTTATTGGCCTTCAAGTATGTTGATTCTTTGGACGGTCCAGTGATAAATATATTTGTGTCATCAGCATAG